TAAAATGCATAACAACACCAACTGTAGAACCTTATTCCACCCTCTTCGTTAATTCATAAAAAAACTTATCCGTTTTGTTTGGATTGTATTGGCTCTTCTAAATTAAACCATAAATTTTCTTTGTGGAGATGTATTTTGTCCCGGATTGCACCACTTATTTCCTTTAGTAAACTAGCATTCACCCCGTGCGATCCGGGTGTCTTATCTAGCCTGAGCACCGATTGATTTGTCGAAATTTCTCTCGTTTTATTCTTGAGCTACACAATTTCTCTGCCCGCGTATCCGATACTGTTGCGTTGGCTGCATCCGCATCTTCTGTGACCACGGGAGAAACATCTATCTATACCTTTGAAGGGATTGTCCCAATAACAGTTTCATTGAAACTCTTCTCTGTGTCCCACAGAGCATCCATTTGCCATTGGCTCCTCTCCACAGAGTTGTCATCACCCTGACGGGACAAATGTGTTAATGCCACACATTCATGTGAATTCTGCACTGACCGTCCCCTCTTCCTACCACAAGCACAGATACTCTCTCTGAATCCTCTATGGCTGTGGGATGACAACCTCCTGAAACGTGAGGTCCATGAACACACAGAGTCACTCATTCCTTCACTGTCTGTCTCCCATATGCACTCTGCCTGTCTACAATGGAGAGAGTGAGAGAGAGAATGTGTGTGTATATGAGACACTCAGAGAGAGAGTGAGATAAAGAATGTGAGAGACAGAGACAGAGTGTAATATTGTGAGAGAGAGTGTTAGAGAGAGAGGGAGAAACAACATGTCCTTGTGTAAAGGCCTTTCATGTCGGGAGGATGTCCAAGGCCGACGGACAGACAGAGATTCCGAGTTACTTCGCAGTTTCTCAACAACAAACAATAAACTGCATTTATTTCTCCTCCTTCACGGAGGATCAGGACTCGGAGCTTCTCCTCAGTTTTGGCTTATAATTGACGAATCCATTTTCATTCCTTTTCATGTGTTTATGTCAATAAACTTTTCGCAATGAATCCCACGACATTAATTGTGTTGCTCAGTCCCTGGTCTGGTTATCAGCATCTACTGCTAAAGAGCGGTCAGACACAGACAGCAATTCACTGCTTCTCCTTCTCTCCTCGTGGATTTGAGGGAAGTAATCATTTGCTGTGATTCAGTCTGGGTTCAAATTACACATACAAACCTACAGTTCCACAGTACTGCCACCAGAAGGTGGTGTTGCACTGTGTAACTGCTCATTATATTCTGTGTAATTATACTATTTATAATAATTCGGCATTTGATATTGCGCTGTTCATGTCTTGCAGACGCCTCAAAGCGCTTGTTTAGTCAATTCCCTTCTCCTCCTTGAGGGAGGTGACCAGTGTCTTCCTGGAGCTGATCTGGAGCTCGGCAAC